CAATGGATTGGCAGAAGGGGTCTAATCAAGTGGCCGCCAAGGTCACCTGATCTCACTCCTTTAGACTTTTCCTTGTGGGGTTACACTAAATCCATAGTCTATAAGACAAAACCAGGTTCGTTGCAAGAATTGCGGCAGAGGAGAACTGAAGCATGTCGAAATATTCCGAGAGAGACTTTCCAAAAAGTGAGAGAAGAATTTGAAAATCGTTTGTATTTTTGTATGGAACAAAACGGCTGTCATTTTGAGCAATTATTAAAATAAATTATCATTTTAAATTTCTTTCAAATTGTCACACCTACATTTCTTGTCACTAACCAGTAATTAAGTTGAAGTCTGTATGACCATCGTTTAGCAATTTCAATTAGCTTTCCAAAGAAGTGTCACAAGTGGGGTATCGCTATCTTGAGATTAGAAGTGAAGGGGTGCCACCTAGGGGTAGGTTGGGGTGGTTTGAAAAATACTTGATTTGTGTCATTTCGCTGGGCCCCAATTTGTAACTTTTGCTGAAAAAATCACCTTTTTCATTAATGTCCACCTAATTGTTCGTGTAAGGGTAGTTTTTCAATTTCACCCTAAAAACTTTATGATCATCATTTAGCATTTTTCATGAGCTTTCCAAAAAGATGCCACAAGTGGGGTGTTGCCATTTAAGATTTTCAAGTGAGTAGTGGTGCCTCATAAGGGGTAGGTCGGGGTGGTTCAAAAAATACGTCATATGTATTCCCCCCCGATATTATAGAAACGGTATTTTTTATTTTTTTGATATCTTTTTTGGTTTAAAAATTATAGCCATTGTTAGTTTTCAGTGGCCCACCCTGTATATAAGTTATTATTAACTTTCTGACCGCCTTTTGTTCATTTTTATTTCGCTCAGGTAAAACCTCACAACCGTACATTTAAAACTGTTTACAATCTCTATTAGGCAAGTCTGCAGCTATTATCACACTAAAAACCTGTAAAAATTTTAAGTTTATTCATTATATCATTGGCTGGAGCAGTTAAATATGAAAAAGATATGTAGTTCTAATACAATATAATTTAGCACAGTTTAATAACCTTTAAATTTTAAATAATTCCATGTTTATATTATTAATTTACATTATGTTGCCGGTTAACGACTTGTTCATGATCATTCTAAATTATTACTAATCACCCCGAGATTCCTAGAATGGCATAATTTAGAACAATGAATGTGAAGAGTATGTGTGGTATGAGAGTAACAACAAATTTGTATATCTTGATTATCGCAGTTCTATAAATAAATGGCGAATAGATAAATTAATTTATGTTTATTTTAGCAGATTAGATTTCTGAAGTATGTTATAAATATATTTATTTTGATAACATTTATGAACCTATATAAAATTATTTTTTCTTTAAATTTTTAGATAGATAGATATTCATTTATTTGTTCCGATTAACTAAAAATTACAAAAACCGGCAGGTATGGGACATTGTGAAAATAGAAAAAAACAAAACTTAAGACTTAATATAAAACACAAATAAATACACTTAAATAAGGGAAATAAACGAGAATAACACTTGACAACAAAAAAATATAAAATGTATGATTCGAAAATTATTGTTCAGTTTAAATAAATAGTTTTTCTAACCGCACTATATGAGTACACTACATTACAATTGCTACAAACAAAAAACATGCTCACTAAAAAGTGAGATATGCGAATCGGAAAAAAAACCGTCAAACTATAGTATACCTTTTTGGTTAAATAATCCTTTAGTATAGGTTTTATCTTTAATACACTTAAATAAGGGAAATAAACGAGAATAACACTTGACAACAAAAAAATATAAAATGTATGATTCGAAAATTATTGTTCAGTTTAAATAAATAGTTTTAATATATGGCCTGCAACCTTCGGAGAAACTGTTAAATATTTTTATAATCGAATACTCAGCATTCTTTTGTATATAAGAAAAAATGCATTTCCGGTAGGTATAAGATTATATTTATTTCTGGTATCATACCGTGATCACTAACAAAGCCTGCAAAGAGATCTCTATTACTGATCACAAACATGTAGGTATCGTTTACATCGTTACGAGGCTTTCGGCCTTAAGCTAAACATCGACAAAACCAAAATTATGTGCACTCCCCCGGCAGATCACAACAAGGCTATAAAAATCTGAGAACTACTGGAATATGTAGCGGGATTCAATTACAGAAAAGCTCATGAAAGAAAACGCCTTGCGTGACCATCTTCAGATGCGTGTCAAATACTCGTCAGCGAGTAATGGCAGTATGTATGTATGTAGGCATCGTAAACATACATGCCTGTCAGCATCAATATAGCCCTCTCCACAAAAACATTCTTACAGCTTTCTAAACGGCTCATCCTAAATATATTTCGAATACATCTTTTTTTGTAGCAGAAAAATTCTACCTATATCAGTACAATTTCCCCAAATTACCAAGCCATATCTCATTTTAGATCGCACAAAAGCATAATAAGCTGTCAATGCAGCTTCTTACAATGTACCTTCTTCGAGATAATCCTCAAAGCAAAGCCATGTTTTGGTACCCCCTTTGCAACACTCTCAACATGCGCTTTCCGATACAATCTGCTGTCAATGAGCCAATTAGTTTCATTATAAATAGCAATAGACCTTTCCCGTTAATCGGATTTTTAGCGGTCATAATGCGCGGACAGATTTGGCGCCGTTCAAATCTGGTGATAAATCGACCCTGGAAGTGCTAGGGATAAAAAGAAATGTTTCTAAAGAATTGACGGACCACGGATGTCGTAACTTACGTCTGTAGTATTTATGGTATACATAACCTTACTTATTTTGTTTTTATTTGCCATAGTTTTTGTTATTCATATAAAATTTATTGAAAATTGTTTTCTTTGTCACTCTGCCCATACCGTTACCCGTAAATTATTGTATTAGTTAGGGCATAGGGTAAGTGTTAGTTCAGAATGCGTTGTTGTATAGTCGGTTGTCCCAATTCAACTCAGCGAGTTACGGACATTAGTTTATTTTCCATTCCAAAAGGAACTCAGAGAAATATATGGACTAACATTTTGAAAATAGATCCACAGGCGATAAGCAACAAGACAAGAGTAAATATTTCCCAGAATGTATAGTATACTTGTAACTTAATCAAGAAAACTTTTAGGTTTGCAGGCGTCATTTTAGAGAAGATGATTTATTTCATTTTTCAACAAGGATAAAACTAAAACCCCATTGTATACCAAGTTTATATCTGTACAATCACGCAGAAGCTGACGAAGGTATACAAAATATAGAGACCAGTATAACACCAAAAAAACAAATTACAAAACGAAAAATAGTGATTAAAAGACGAAACATAAATAAATCTCAATTTTTAATTGAGAACTTTAAACACGATGATAATAAGATAAATTATTATACAGGTGTTAGGACGTATAAAATATTTTTAATAATATTTAGGTATACTTTCAAATCAGAAAAAGGTCCAATTGGTGCAGTGCACCAGTATATTTTGAAGGGAAAGTGGAAAAAATATCACAAGCTAACCCCAATAAATGAACTGTTTTTAACTTTAATGAAATTGCGACGTGGTTTTGACTACCAGACATTGGGGGACATGTTCTGCATTTCAAAGTCTGCTGTAGGAAGAATTTTTATTTCTTGGATCAATTTATTATATGTGAAACTTTCAAAAATGAACATTTTTCCTCATCGAGATACTATTCTTCAACATGCCTCACCTCAGTTTTTAAAAAAATATGTGAATGTAATAGGGAGTATTGACTGCACTGAATTTGCTATTCAACAACCATCATCTTTAGTTCGCCAATCACAATGTTATTCACAGTATAAAGGAACCAATACACTGAAAGGACTAATTATGATTAATCCAAATGGAGCAATAATATTTATATCCACATTATTTACTGGTATGTTATTAGGTTTGATGATGTTTATGTTTTTGATTAGTTTATTACTTTTAGGATCTATATCGGATAAAAAGATCATTGAAGAAAGTGGTTTTTTATATTTATTAAAAATGAAGATTGAAAAAGACGAATTAAATGCAGGGGACATTATTTTGGCTGATAAAGGTTTTGAAATAAAAAATATTTTAGAGGATATTGGTATCGAGCTCAACATTCCAACATTCAAAGTCACTGGTATGCAGTTTCAAGATAATGAGGTGGAATATATCAGAAAAATTGCACATGAGAGAATACATGTGGAAAGAGCCATTAGAAGAATTAAGACATTCAAAATTTTATCTTCTAGAATACCAATAATCTTGTTAGGTTCTATTAATCAAATTTATACTGTGTGTGCTCTTTTAACAAACTTTATGCCACCATTAAGAAACTGAAACTGTCTGTTCATGTATATATCAACTACTACCTTTTATTGAATTTTAATGAAATTAATGAAAAATAGTATTGTTTTCTATAGTTATAAGATTTTAATGTAATTTTTAAGTATTGTACTATTTTTATTTTTTCTTTGTTCCGGCATATGTAATATTATCTTTGATTTTTTTGACATGAAATAAATATGTATCGATATCGTATATGTATAAATATGTAGTAGTATTGTCTTTTTTCCCCAATCATTATAAAAAGTAATAACGAACGAGCAAGAATATTAATGAAGAATATATTTTTCTCAAAATGTATATAATAAAAAATGTTCCTCCTGTAAAGACAATCAGGGGACATACTGTATACTATAATAAAAGTAAATAATATATACTATATAAAATAAAACAATTTTATCAAAAGTCTAAATATATATTATACAAATTGGTTAATTTTTCGTACATAGCTTGACAAAACTCAGCATCAAATTTTATATTTACTATCACTATTTCATGACTTTTTTTTAAATATACACAAAAATCACACCACTGGGCTCCAGTTAATAGCATCTGGCCTTGTATTTGGTAATAATAATTATGATTTGTATCAAGAGAGATTTCCCCATTTTCATTTTTTTTTAAATAAAATGATTTAATTTTAAATAACCCATTTAAATGATCAACCTTCTCATTATAAGGGCATTTAAATTCTATAAGTCCTACATTTGTAGGACTTATCACTATTACACCATCAGGACTTGTTTCTAAATGTGGTGCATATGGATGAATTACTAATCCACATGTGTAGACTTTATGGTTTGTCTTCTCTCTATACAAATGTTTTGCGTTTTCCTCTTCTTTCCTTCCATGTTTAATGGCTTTTAAATGATCCAAATTCTTTTCCCACATTTTTTTAAAAAAGTCTGCATCTATAGCCTTCTGCCTTTTACATAACAGACCAAAATTTGATGATGTAAAGATATTCTTTCTTTTTTCGTGCCATATTTGGCTATCTCCCTGTACCCGAGTGCACCTTTCCAATTGTACAGCTTCCTCCAATGAAAATTCGTGAAAATGATTCACTTGTGGCAAAGGGCAGCTTATTAAAATATTTGTACTCGTGGTATTTAATATGGGCAGATCAACTGGCATATTATCATCATTCGCACTATCTCTCCCTCTATTTTGTTGACCAAAAATGGTCATTTCTGGATCTGAAAATATAAATATTATTACTCATCACATATATATTATAACATAACTTCAACTGTAATATCATTAGCATAATTTATAAAATGATATATAAGTACCCTATGATCGAATAAAAACGGTATCAGCGATGGCTATGAAATGAAGATCGCTGTCATTTTATATGGGAAATGTCATTGATGTTCATTTCATAGCCATCGCTGACGCCGTTTTTATTCGATCATATGGTATAATTTTGAAAGGTCAAAAGTGAAATATAAAAACCTGCAAGTACTTACTGGTATTCTCTGTAGAAATCAAAAAAGATAAAGGTATGCCCTTATCAATCTTTTGTAAAGATTCTTTCAATTTTTGTAATTTTGTGGGCGAATCATCGGCTTGTTCATTGGACATCACAGAAGTGCTAGGAATAGCAATTTTTGAAACAACGGGAGCCTTCCTTCTCAAAAGATTTGTAGGCTTTTGGAACGTGAGATACCTTGTATCTTCAGGAATTACTTTTGTTCCACGTGGCTTATTCCATAACATGGCTTGGGATGTTGAAGCAATGTGCTCGGGAATATTGTATTCTCCTCTTAATATGATGTCTTGTAAATAAAATGCTAAACCCAGCAAATGATGGCAAGACTGGGATAAGCTAAAAGAATTATATTATTCATTTTAGTATTAACTTCAAAAAACAATAGCCAAATACTCACCCAACTTCACAAGAACAATGGCATTCTTGTATGCATAAATGAGGATTTGTCATAAAAACCATACGTAAAGTATGAGGTTTTTCGTTTCTCCTCTGGCTATGGTAACATTTGGCTTGTAAAACCAAATCCACGTTTTCAAACCAAACATCGTGTATGTAAGCCTCCACGAAAAATTTATAACCTATAAAAATAAAGTTAAATTACTGCCAAACCAGAAAAAATTTAATAAACAACGGGCCAAACAAATTAAGAAAAAAACATACCTTTAGATTTCTGTGCTGGTAAGACTCCATGACACTTAAAAAAATCAGAAACCATTTCGAAACTAAATTCTTTTAATAAAGAAATGTTTTTGGTCCACATTTTGAATGCAGTAATACAAAACAAATATAAGATAATGCTGGGCAAAATGCACAATAAAATAAACGTACTATAATAATAAAAATGCCAAGAAAACTAACCAAACTATCTGGCACGAGGCAAGAGACACGAATGACAAGACAAAATTGACAATTGACAAGCACCACAAATGCAACTAGCTCGGACCTAGGATCTTTCAGTCTGGCAAACCTATGTTTCTGCGCGCGCATTATGACCGCTGTTTTCGATTAACGGGAAAGGTCTATTGATTTCTCAAACTATTTAAAAAAATATTTTTTATGCAGAAGAAAAATAAATCGGATTTATCCAAATTCCTTACTCTCTCTTTTGGTCCATATTTTGCATACGGTATTGGGGCCTAAAAAGGAAGTTTTAACAAGGATAAATATATTTTATATTTCTTATAACTCCTGATGAGAGGGGGAACACTTCTCAGGAAGAATAAGTTACGGGAAGGAAATATTTCTTTCCAGATTATCCAGGACAAAGGCGCACAAGAAAAATGAGAAAATGGAACAGAAACCTGGATTTTTCTTTGCATTTTTTCATTTTCCTCTTTCCGTAATTTTACTTTTTTCATGTTCTCATTATTTAAAACAATTGGTGGGTTTGTGTATTTAAAATTAACTCTAACATTTTAGGGCAAAGCGTAGGTCCGACTAATATCGGAGAGTCGATTAGAAGCTTTTGAAAACCCTGTAATATAGTTTTCTCTCTTTTAAAATGGTTCATTTTTTATTTTAAAATCTCTGAAACAAACAGCATTAACAGTCTTTTTTAAGAGTCCCACTGAAAAAATTTAACTGACGGGAAAACAAGACGAGATGGGCACGTCTATTGGCCATTTTGCTGACTCGGAACAGAGAATGGGTCCCTTAAGAGTCCCGGAATACGAAGTAAAGAGCTCCATTACCAGGAAATATCCCGATAAAAAGAATATTTATTCCTGTTTCACCTGCACGTTCAAAATGGCAGCTACATATTCAAGTTTCTCTCTCATTTTAGTCAAAAATTCTGTAACTTGACTTTTGATTAGAGTCGTATTTAAGTATTTATTGTTTTACCAAAGAATATTATAGTTTTAAGAACTCTCGCGTGGAAGCTTTAGTGATTTGTCACACGGTGGCGCTTTTGAAGATAATCGAAGCCTGAAAATGCTAATATTTTAAATTGTGAGGACTACGCGCGGCGATATTTCGTACGGTGTTGCCAAAACATATTTTATTTCTCGATATTTAAAGAAATATGTATTGAAATATTTCGTATTCGTTAGTACATGAGACATCCTAAGGCTCTGAAAAAAAACGTAGCTATGAAAATAAAATTTTAGATTTTTAATTTTTTTGTACCTTCTAATAAAAATTACTTCTATTCCAATAAAAAATTAACTAGTATGATTATGTGTTATCTGTGCTAGTATTAGGAAACTGGAGTAAATACGGAGAATATTAATTCGTTCTCTAAGATGAGCACTATTAAGTAATTTTTTAAAATTCGACCCATAAGGGGGTGTAATTAAATAAAGGGGTGTAATTATACAAAAAAAATCTGTACCTACTAGGAGTATGAACTTTTGCACAGATGTGGCGCAATTGAACATTGATAAGCGATTTTTGGAAATGTCTAGCCTAAGGGTAGTGAAACTGGGGGGTGAAATTTTGTACAAAAAATGTTAGTTCTAGGAGTATGAAATTTTGTATAGAGTTTCCTTAAGCGACGAAACTTATGTAACGTAATTTAGCACTAAGTAGCACTTTTTGGAAATTCGCCCTCTAAGGGTATGAAATGAGGGGTGAACGTTCTGAAACAATTCGGTTGAAGGAATATGAAAATTTGCACAGAGGTTCCTTATGTAGCGTAATTGAATAATTATAGTGATTTTTGGAATTCACTCCTTATGAGGGTAAAACTAGAGGTGAAAATTTGTATAATTTTTTATGTAAAATCCGTTCTAGAACTAGGAGTATGAAATTCTGTTCAGAGGTCCCTTAAATGATGAAAGTGAGTACCTAGAAGCGAATTTTAGGCATGCATCCCCTAAAAAATAAGGGATGAAAATTTGTACAAAAATTTGTTAAAATCGGTTTTACAAATATGAATTTTGCAGACGTTCCTTATGTAACGTAATTTAGCACTAAGAAGCAATTTTTGGAAATTCGCCCTCTAAGGGTGTGAAATGAGGGGTTGAACGTTCTGGAACAATAAATTCTGTTCAAGGAATATGAGAATTTGCAGAGAGGTTTATTATGTAGCGTAATTGAATAATTAGAGCGATTTTTGGAATTCATTCAAGGGATAAAACTAAGGGTAAAAATTTGTATAATTTTTATGTAAAATCCGTTCTGGGACTAGGAGTATGCAATTTTGTACAGAGGTCCCTTAAGTGATGAAACTGAGTACCCAGAAGAAAATTTTGGACATGCACCCCCTAAAAAATAAGCACTCCCTATAAAACAATTAAAATAAAAAAAAAGTTGGGGTGGACCACTCTTATCACTTAGGGGTATAAAAAATAGATAACAACCTAGGAATAGGTTGTGACCAAACCAAACCAAACCAAACCTACTGAATATACATATAACATTTTATCAAAATCGGGCAAGCCGTTTCGGGGATGGCAACAAAAAATAAAAAAACAACCCCTATTAAAAAATAGGGGGATGATGGTAGAACGGTAAAAATTTAGTTGTTAAAAACACGAAGTTGGGGCCTCGCTCGCCAAAGCGAGGCTTCATCGACAGGTCAGATTTTGATGCGAGACGCGACTTCTAGGGTATTAAGATATTCTTTAGTTTTACTGTTTTTTTTAAATGCTTTTTTTTACTTTTATGTTATTTATACATTTACCTTTTTTTTCGTTTTTTTTTGAAAAAACACTGTATGCTGAGGTTATTATTATATATTTCGCCCACCAAAGCCCAACAAACCAGAAACCAAATTAGCCAGAACTAAGAAAGAGTGAGGCCGAGGTCGAAGATTGGCCATTACTGTTGGCACCTGTATTACCGCAGTAATAAATCTATTACAATACTTGTAATATATTCATCATCATCATTTTCAGCTTATCCAACCATTTCCAATTATGGTGTAGCCTCCATCACATATTTAGATTCTCTCTTTGTAGTTGAGTCCATTGGTTGTCTATTGTCTATTGGAGTCCATTGGTTGTCCATCTGTTGTCTGTTCTTCTTGCCAGGTGTCCTGCCCATTGCCATTTGAGGGATTTGACTCTGTGGACGACATCTATTACCTGGGTCTTTTGTCGTATCCACTCTATTCGTTTACGGTCTCTCTTAGTTATTTTGTAAAAATAATGTTTTGTATAACCAAAAATAACGTAGAGATAATATTTCTATAACGCTATTAAAATATTCATCATTTTTGTTAATGTTTGGAAGGAATTAAGGGAAATATTTGAAAATAGTATTCAAGGCCTTATGCGGCCTGTTATAATTATTTGTTTTTACTGTTGTAGTATGAACATGTGTTTTTGCATGTTCATACAATGCGTTCTGTTGCTGTTCCTACACAACAATTAGACGCACATTGTGAATAATTTAGGATTTACCATTTTTAATTATTTTATTGCACATTATCATACAAAAAAAGAATGAACCCTGAAAAAGGAAATGCACAACAATCCAAACATACCTTGGAGGAAGGAAAAGCACAAGAAGGAGAGCTGGAAAATATTAAAATCATTGCGCCAGGAGAAAAAGACAGATATAATATCCCCAATTCCATTACAAAATTGGGACAAAAACTTCAGTGATCTGCTACAAGAAGACGGAGACGAATTTAAGGAACCCATACGAAATAACACAAACATATCAATTTCCACCTCATCCGTTAGAAAATCTATAAAAGAAGTAAAAGATGTATGCAACGGTTTAAAAACCAGAAAATCTCCCGGCCCTAATAACATCCCAGCAGAATTAATAAAGTTTGGAACCCAAAAATTATACGAACACCTAGCAGAACTATTCCAAACTTGATGATTACCGGAAAGATTCCAGGGAAAGAATCGTATTTTACCCCAATATTCGGCTCAAAATAAAAGATATTTATTTTTTTCTGCTAGTGCTGGTAAATACAGAAAAACTCGCAAAAAAACTGTAATTCCGTGTATTATATTACCGACTACCGGTAATATAACAAGCCGGCAAATTTCCAATCCAGAATCAGTTCTTTTATTATAATTTGTCCTGTAACTCTACTGTATCCTTTTCGATAATGACATTATAAATAAAATAACAACAGATATCAGGTAAATCTCATCATTAAGAGAATTTGAAGCAATTCTACCGGCATTCTAAGGCCACTCTGACCTTGGATCCGTTCGGGCCGGCCTGCAAGAGTGCGTTCACACGGAAAATGTACGGAATCTCGACCGCCAGTCCGGTAACTTTATACTGCCGACTACGTTAAATAAACTGGTTTCAGTGCCTTTTCTGAACACAATGCTTCTTACTACTCGATTCTTGTCTAGATATTTTTTTTCTCTTAGTTGGGTTTATATTAAAGACGGTTTCCCGAGATAATTTTGTGGATGTTGACTCGGCGGGAGGTGACTTGACGAGAATATCTCTATTAGTTGTTAATTTATCGCTTCTCGGTTATTGCAATCGATGAAATATCTTAATTTTTAAGCGGCGTTTTCAAGGTCTATAACTGGTTGAAAGAAGAACGTTGTTTAATTTTTTATTTCATTGAGATTTCGGTTAAATTCAAGTCGAAAATAC